GGTCTCCATAAATATCAAACGTCACCCTCTCCTCTTCCTCGTTCATTTTCTGCATCCCTCCTCCACCCCCTCTCCATCTTTGCAGCTACCCAATTGGTTGCATGGAGGTCCTATCCTCCCCGTCCAACGGCCGGGAGGTCGGCCCTCAGCCAAGCGGGTTACGCCAAATCTCCACATCACAATAAACAATTCTAATTTCTCCCAAGCTTTAGGCTGCTGTCATTCCTCGTGAATGAAAACTAATAATTTGTTTACAAAAAGTGTTATAGTTTTTCTGGCATTCTGCTGTTTTGTGCCTTTCTATTACACTTTAACTGTGATGTATTGCTTTTTTACTTAATGAAAAGTTTGGACACACAGCAGCGCTTATGATAGGACCCTTTGATCAGTTCAAACAGGGCTGTAGACACCACAGAGCTTGTTCGACATCCCCAGTCTACCTTCCCAGTGGGGAGAAATTAAAGTGGAAAGGCTAAGTGCTAACACAGGTTTCCTGTAGAATTGTAACATTCCCGTGAGAGTGTGTTTGTGCCAAAATCTTGAACTGGGCGGTGTGGTGGCCATAGTGACAGGAAACACTGTGCTTCCATCAGTGCTGCACCCTCCTGACAGCAGGAGGATGGTGGAGAGAGGGATGCCGGTGCCAGCAGAAGACATCCGCTTGTTTCATGAAGGAAGTGAGAGTGTGGAATTGCTGTGTCTGCATTTTGTTCTTGTTGTTTGCTTTCTTTTTTTGTGTGAATCAGCTTTCTGTCTCCTTCCAACATTTCCCTTTTGAAACCTGAGAAATGAAATGAGAAGCATTCACCTGCAATTCTAGTATGAATACCTTCTGATACAAAATAATGCTTTTCATCTCAAAGTAAATATCATTCTAGCAGTATGTCTGACAAAGCGTGGCAGGTGTTATAGTCTTTTGAATAATGGTTAGCTGCACAAAAGCAAAGAATTCTCAAGAATCTCTGTGTCACTTTTTGAATACAAAAATCCTATGTTTTAATGTTATGTTTTAATGTTTGAGTGTTGAAAGCCTGTATTAAAAGACTTCAGTCACTTAGTAAAAATATCATTCACAATAAAAACACACTGCAGCCCCCCTCATTTGACATCTCAACCCCTATTGGTTTTTGCGATATTTCACATAATGGAATTCATTTGAGATGCTTTATGGTTTGAGATGGTGGAAATGTGTCAGATTCAACCATCACAACAGAGGTGCACTGTAGTTCTGAAATGGTGACATCACAGGCCTTGATCTCCATCCATTCATGTTGTATTTCTGGTAGAAGGACATACTGACAAATTTATTATCTGTAAAAACAACCAGGAAGGACCAAACACCTTTATACAACAGAGGTTTTTCCTTCTTTCTATTTAAATTTTACTAATTGAATAGAAGTCATAGAATAATCATGTAATTAATAATAAAATAATAATAATAACAACAACCTTTAAATGAGCTCTAAGATGCAATTTTGCATTAGTGAAAAATCATTTGAAAAAAAATGGAGAGACAAGTAATTGCATTTTTATTTTGCTGCAGAGCCTTCTAGTTAAGTGTCTGTTATTATCGTTTCAGTTTTGTAACGAACAGTTCTTTCCGGACCCTATGCGGATGACACAATCCGAAGAAGTGGGAAACACTAGGAAAAAGTCATGCAGGGATACGGGGCTGAAAACGGGGGTCGTGTCCAAAGTGCGCTGGTGCACGCGGAAGGTGTGGCCGAGGCAAACAATCCAAAAGTAATCCATAGAGGGAATCCAAAAACACAAGAAAGTCCATAGCCAGGTGATCCATCCAAACAAGGAATTAAAAACACGAACCGGGTTGGAACCGGCAGACAAGGAACAGGAACAGAGCTTAAAACCTTAATGGGACCAGGCGCTCGCAGGTCCCGGACTCGCACGGTGCGGAAACCAGATGCAGAGCCAAGCTGAACGTCAGCGCCTTGCTTTTAAGGTGGGCTGGGAAAAGGGGTCAGGTGCACAGAATTAAGTCTTAGTGAAAGGGCTGGAGCACCTTTAAGGAGGAGGGACTATAATCGTGACAAGTTTCTTCTTAAATTCCTTGTGCATTTTAAATTTGATAGAAAAGATTTAACAAATAATGGTTCTAACTGTCTCACTCATTGAATAATTTTCAGAGAAGGACGAGCTCTTCTAACATTACCCGGCTGTAAGCACAGGACGATATTTGGTTGCCATCATTTGCTGTTTACTGCAGCCTCAAAGTGTTGAGGGAAGAGAATCTAATTTGCCGCATTTCAGTTTTGGTGGGTGAAATATGTAAATTCAACTGCTCTAGTTCGTGTGAAGGGAATCCTTACGCTTTATTTATTTATTATGTGAAATTCATCATTATTCTCATGTCTGCCAGCAGCTATACTATTTTCAAGCCTAAACTCATCTGAATTCAGAGAGTCAGCATAGAGGGGGTAGGTAGTATTTTGGAGAGGAGACAAATATGGGAAAATGATGTTGGTTAACCCCTTTCCTCTAAACCACTGCTTTTCAATCCTGGACTCAGAGTACCCATGTGTCTACTGAGTGGTACCTCTGCTTAATCTGATTGCATAGAGAAACCACTGCTCTAGACCATAGATTTTATACTGGTGCCCCAGTACGAGCTGTAGGAGAATGTACATACAGTATACAGTAGATTGTTTAGGATTTTAATGTAAATTGAATGCAGTGGACATAAAAGATCCTGGCACAGTTTTCCAGTGGCAAATACCAAAACAGACTGTAGCATCTGGCCTGTTTAAAGTTCTCTTTACCTTAAAGGTCTTTCCTGTTTTAGCTTCAGTCTGCATCGAGAACAAGATTTTGATGTCATGCCACTTCCTGGTTAAGCAAATGTTAAATATTTAGCAGAAGCATTATAATGGCTACCACTAATTGTGGATGAGGAGGGTTCAGCTTCAGTTGTCTTTTTCTAAATCTAACAGTCCAGCCAGTCCAGTATTGGAAAAATGCTATGTCTGGTCAGAGTTGTATCCACCTGGCACCACAGGATGCAAGGCCTGGACTACACCATAAACCTATCTATCAAAAAAGGTATAGACTTAAAGTTTGAGAGACTCTAATTAACCTAGTCAATTTGTCTTTGAAAGGTAGGGGGAAGCACAGGGAGACCATGCAAGCTCCACAAAGTAGAAGAAACCCGCACACTTAAATCTCAATGTTAAAAAGGTGACCAAGCTTGGTAGTACATACAGAATATTCTTAAAAACATCAGATACCTAATGTTCAGATATTGGTTTACTTGAATTTTTTTTTTCTTTTGCTGTGCTTTATCTTTATCTTTTTTCTGTTCTGCTTTTTCTCTCTCTTCAATTCCTTCTCTTGGTCCTAAGATGATAATGCAAATGAAAGTAGTGATAAAGATATTTTACTTTAATGGCAGAGATCCTCATGTTTCCTCACTGAAAAATGACACTCAGCTGAAATTTGATTGTCAGAGCAAGGAACTAAATTTCCTTTATAGGATCTCTAATTACATTTTCATTCAGTCTGTTTTGTGGGTGAAGATAAAAGGTAAGAGATCATGGTTTTAATCCTGGTTGTCTGACCATCTTTCCTTTAAGGGCTTCTTTTGAATTTTATTGCCTGTGAGCAGTATGCATTTCTTCAATTGATAAATCGGCTAGAAAGCTGTCACAACAGCATCCTTTACTGTAATTGCATTCATGGACTTTGACATTTAAAATTGTTGCATTCAAAAGGTGAAACTCGGTGAGAAATTATATCATATTATTTAAGCCATTTTTTCTAGACAAGAATAAACATTGTAACAAATAATTTGAAATAGAAAACATTATTTTAGCTTAAAAAACAGATGATTGTACAGAGTCCACAAGCTTGAAAATGTCAAGATAATGGCAATGCAGTGTTATTTGAATCACATATTGCTCTAATTTCTGTGACTTTTTCTAGCTTTTTTCCCACCTTCAAAACTTATGCTGTTGCATGAATGCCTTTTGGGAATCCACAGAGCTGTTGTTCTCACTTCACACATTTAATGAAACTAGCTTTTAACCTCCAGTTTCTTGTGCTTAACCTTGACTTCATTCTGGACTTCCTGTTTGGCATGGTGGTAGTTAACATATATATTATTATTGTTGTTAATGTGTGGCAGCATTGTCACATTCGATTCTAATTTATTAATTTATCTGAAGCTAAGCAAGGTTGGACTTGGTCAGTATTGGGAGCGGAGAAACCTGTAAATGGAGCTGCTGTATTAAGTGGTGTTGGCAGACCAGTAGGTGTCACTGTTCCCTCTGGACAAGAATTTGCATACCAATGCCAAAGTTCGGGGACACCGTGCTATAGGAGGTGCTGTCCTTCACGTGAAATGTTCAACTTAAGATCCTATGGCCCTTTAAAAGGTGAAACACAAAGAGAAATCATATTGTATTATTCAAGTCATTATTATAGACAAGAATAAACATTGCAGCAAATAATTTGAAATAGAAAATATTATTTTAGCTTAAAAAACCACAAACGTGAGTCCACAAGCTTGAAAATGTCAAGATGATGAAAATGTAATATTATTTGAACTGTGGATTCCAGAATGTGACCATGCTCTAAATTCTGAGACTCTTTCTAGTTTCTAGAGCATATGGTATAATCCCGATGTCCTGACTACATTTTGCTCTGGGCTTGAACAGTGAGGCCTACTTAAATTTCCTCTTAGTTCAATTGGTGATGCAGTTTCTCCCTTTTCTACCTGAACTGCTGTGGAAAAAGGCTGCTGAGCATCACCAAGGCAGTTGTGGCTTTATGAGTGGCAAATGATGCTCCCCTTGTACAATATTTTGTACAGTTGTTGAAATACTTTGAGTTCAAAAGCATAATATTAATGCTAATTATTATTTTTATCATTATTATTACCATCATCATTGTTGCCTATTTTATTTTTGTTGAATCAAGAAGATCTTACTTTTGTTATTCTTTCTGTGTATGCAGAGAGGTACTGTAAGTTGTTTGTTGTGGGGAATGCCGTAGTCAGCATCCTGAGAGTGGAGTCACTCAAAGATACTCCAGGCTTCAGAAATTAATATTTCTGTGCTGTAGGCCTTCGCACTTGCAGTGGCTTTAGGAAGAGACTCACTGTTTAAAACCAGTTGGCACCAGCTCTCCTGTTACGGGCTGTGTAGCTGAGAGGCAGCATGCCAAATGATGAGTGGCTTATCTTCCAAACTGTTCACTTCATTCCTTCAATCCACACAGTCAGTACAAGGGACATTGATGTGAGCCAAAATATAAAATACCAGTCCGAGATTCCAACCTGGTGGGTGTAAAATAAAACAAAAAACACCTAACTTTTAAGAAACAAAATGAAATCTAGTTCCCAGTAAAACAAATACTGTATGACAGGATCTAAATATGAAAAAGCAAACAGAATGGCTAGTGTTAAATTTTATAGTTTATAATGTAGTACTCCCTAACACACACATACTCTCATTTCAGATGCATCTGCAAGCACAATCTCAAAGAAAAGCTAAGATTATTTCTGACTGCTGTAGTATTTTGTCATCTCTTGCTTGAACAATGACTACCCTGAGTGCATTAATCACATCCTGAGAGCGAGGTGCAGTGTTTCCATTCCAGTGCTCACAAACAATTAACCTTAGTCTTCTCATCAAGAACAAACGTATGCCACTTATTATACACAAGAAGGGCAAATTTACAAAGCAATAATAAAATTAAATGAAACACCTTGTATTCAGCATACAGTCCTCACATTTTTTATAGGAGTTACAGAATTGTACTCAATGTAAAATGCCATTTTCCTGGTTCAAGTAAAGGCATGTTTACTGGTGACTGAAACTCTGCTATTCTGCTAGCATACCCTGCAATTAAAGATGGTTGCTTAACTAATCCCATCAGCTATGCCCCACTCTTGTTAAGAATGCAAACTACCATAATCAATGAGACACATTTCTTACAAAAGTGAGTGGTGTAAGGAATTTAGAACATAGAATTGTTTTAATTGGATTTTTAGTGTGTTCTAACACCTGTATGCAATGTTCTAATCAACATACACCCATCCATCCATTTTTTTAACTGATTTATCCACAACCTCAGGGTTGTGGGGGAGCTGGAGCCTATCCCTGCAGGAAAAGGGCACAAGGCAGGATACCCCCTAGATGGGACGCAATCACAGAACACACACAGACTAGGGGAAATGTGCACACACACCAGGGCTATTTTACCAGCACCCAACCAACCTACCAGTATGCCTTTGGACTGTGAGAGGAAATCAGAGCACCTGCTGAAGACATACAAACACGTGGAGAACATACAGTATAACCTCCACACAGATAGTACCACAGGAATAGAACCAACTGTATGCCCCCAGCACTGCAAGAGGACAGTGCTAACCACTGTATCCCTGTGCTGCCCCAACATTCATCCAAATTTTTTTTCCTATAGGTAAAGCTTAAGGTCTAGTATGCTACCTACTGTAGGATCCTGACACATACCTCCTGTCCTGGAATCTATGAGATTTTCTATAACCCCTTCACACACTGTTAATAATGCAAAACTGTTTTTAAGAATCCTGACATTAGACGAGCTCATAAATTAAAGATAAATATGTGTATTCCCCCTCTCCTCCTCTTATGACACAATTAGTTGAATAATATTAAGATGTTGTTAATATTTGTATTGTGAAGATACAGTATGTACTCTCTAAATGATTTCTGGAAATGCAGCTTTTTAATTTCTAGATATTTCTTTTGCTTTATAATCTGATTGGTCAGTAAGGGACAATGCTGTGATTAAATAATCTTTAATGAAGAGAATAATTCTCTGCTCTGTTGACTTGCATTAAACTAAACAATAAGGGTTATACTGTATGTTTAAATGTAACACCTCAAATGACAAAAATCTGCCACAAGTGTGCACATACTATATGTTTCTTTAGAAAGAAAGAAATGGAAATTCTTGTAGAAAAGAATTTCTTGAGAAGGCTGAACTGTGTGAATCTTATTTCTGAATGGATGGTCAGACTTATGAAAAAGGTCAGGTTATGAATCTCGCTATGTCCACTGCTCAGTACCTACAGTAGGTATGTTTGTGTAATGTCCGAACTGTTTCACTGTTTCATCCAGCTACAATGTACTGACTTGCTGGGAAATACATCCAACCACCTGAAGAGTTTTGAGTATACAAATGTAACTAGGCACACCTGCGTGAGAGAGAGAAGGACATGTAAGAGATTAGGGTAATGCCAAACCATGAACATCATACAGAAGACATACTGTATATGAAGAACCAGAAAGAGCCTTGGGCAGAGACTGCAGTGGAAACATGACCTGAATGAAAGTATCATGTACAGTAGTAACACAATATGCAAAATGGTAGATATCACATAATTTGATTAATTAGATTATAATTTTATTAATATTGTTTTTATAATTAATGGAATTCTTCAAGTGAAGGGGTCTGTTTGGGAAAACAGCTTTAACCAAGGCTTTTTAAGTTGTCTTCAACAGTTTCCAAAAATAATTGAACCCTTTTACTTTTGTTTAAAATCTTTTTTAAAACAGTTTTATATAAGAATTACCTACTATAAATTATATAATGATGCTAATAGTTTGCGAATTGTAAGTTTTTGTTAATCTTGTTTATGTGGCTGCGTACTGTTGACTGTTGATAGTGCTTTTAGACCTTAAATTTGGCTTCTGTGTTGACCACTGCTCTTGTACATTTCAAAGGGCAATTTTATACTTTCATCATCCTCTGTTCACAGGTCTGGTGATCTCAGTGTGGTCAAATGTATTATTCATGCATGTCAAATGTGCTCACAGAATCCTATCAGAACCTGCTCCCTTCAGATGTCTTTTGTGAATTTCAGTACCAGCTGTACATGAGTAGCCATGGCAGGAGCTGTGCTTATTTTAAGTTACTCATCACCAGGCTTGTTGCTCTGTGTGGCTCTCACTCAAGATAAAGAGATAATCCAAAATGTTTCCCACTTACCTTTAAAGGACTGAGCTTAATTTTCAGTTAATGAAGACCGGTGGATCAACTTTATTTGAGTTCTCCACTTGGGCACAATTGCTGTGTTCAGAACAGGCCAGAATGTTTATGAATGTTTATGTTTATAAAATATAATATAAAATTAAAGGGTTGAAATGGATGACACCCCAACATGAAGTATACTTTTCCTGTGAAAAGACCAG